TGGGTATTGTAAGGTTAAATTGGTGATTCCAGGTGACCTGTATAATACTGTGGTCACTGTTGGTTGTCTGTATTGATAATAGGATATGTGGGGTCGAAGTCATGTATATGCTGAAGATTATAATGTTGTATATATAATATTTCAAAATAAGAATAATAATATTGTTTATAATGTAGATAGCTTGTTTATTAATAATGTTTTTTGTTTTAGATATATTATTAAGACCAAATACTTCTTGTTTGATGAATTTAATTTGTGTAGTATATTTAAGTATAGCTGTAAACCAGCATCCCAAAAACTTAAATGAAGTGTGTTGGGTTGTATTTGCATAGAGTAATTTATAAAACTAATATTTAAGGTTTGATTAATATTTAATATTAATACTGATTTTTGTAGATTTATTTTGATGTTTGCTATTTTGTAAAATAGAGATGCTTTTTGCATTATTTGTTATAACTATTCAAATAATTTAACAAGCTACAGAGTATCATCCATATATGCTAATACAGATATGAAAACTAATATTTTTTATATTTAATAGGATTAAATTGAGTATTTATTCAACTGTAGATAAGTATTCAATATGTTTTTTGATATATACAATAAGAGAATTATAATCAAAAAAAAATACAACTCTTCCTGACAATTCTCTGGTCAACAACAACAAAAACTGAACTACAGCAAAACATATAGAAAAATGATGAAGTAGATACTAAAACTTGGTTCTATAAGTAGAAGCAGCTTGTTGTTGACGAAGTCTAAGTGTCTAGGTATGAAATATCGAGAAGCAGGTGCTAAAAGAACAGACGGTTTTCTTTCTGATGAACTCCCCAAAGTATTCGGCATCCAAACCAGAAGGTTTATTCTAGGACAAGTTTGTAGAAGTAGCCAATGTACACTTCTAAGTAGTAGAAATAGAGAAGCTGAACTATACAATTGTAAAACTTATAAGAAGAACTTCACATACTTTCATTGGCCCACCACTTTTTTCAAGAAAATTTTTGTAAGAAGTGGGTGTTTTAGCTTACCTCTCCAAATGATTAACATCATATGTACCAAACAAGTCAGCATTGTTTATTTTCTAAATTGGAACGTGATAACAAACACGTGTATATACGTGCCTTGAATGCAATGGATATCTATACAAATAATGCTCTGAGATTTTGTTCTGACCTCTCCATCTTAAGCCAGTCAATAAAGTTTTCCTTATCAGGTTTTTACTTTTACATATTAGTTTAAAGAAAAATAGAAGTTAGACTCATTTGTTTAGTTAGTATATAATTTTTTCAAGCTACTTACAAGCTTATAACCATAGCATTAAGATTAGCAAATTTTCTGATTTGTTTTTGTTTTTTCGATATTCTTTTACCCTTTTTTTCATATTTTGTATTCTTTTATCATAGTTTCCTATACCTCTGTGTTTTTTTTTTTTAGTTTGTTTGTTTTATTTTCTGATTTTGCTTCTTGATGAGTGAGTAGCCGCCAGCCGATAAACAACAGGAAAAAAGTCTTTAGTGAGTTAAGAACTCTGAGAGAGGCCAAGAGCTACTGAGACAAATCGCACCTAGTAAATAAAATCACGTAAGAGAGTTTTTCATTTAGTTGGATCTACTTTAGTTAGAGATAAATTACTTGTAATTTTAAATAACTTGATCCTAAATAAACAAGAGCAGGATAGCCAAATTAGAAAAAAAATAAGAAAATTATAGTAGATATGCTAAAGAAGAGATATTATTGTTTTTTTAGTTAATTCTGTCTTGTACATTATAAAGAGGTGATTGTCTGTAATTAGTGATAACTTAATATATATGATTTTATAGTAAGTTAGTATTAATTTGTATAAGTTGAATAAAAATGTTGTGGTATTGCAAGACTTTGTAAAGAAGGTGTATATTAACTGAATCATAAACTTTAATTATATCTTGTAATAGGATCCAGATCTATTTTTTTATATATTAAGCATCTTTTAAGAAATTATTGAGTATGTATATTGAATTATTAATAAAGCTGCCAAGAAGTATAATATAGTTGTAAGAATTAAGAATTAAATATATAGTAAAAACTTTGGATAGTTGGTTAGTGATAATTTTAATATAAAATTTTTTAATATATTCAATAAGACTAATAAGATAAGTATTGTTTAAGTTATCATCAAATTGAGGCTTTTTCAATATTAGATAAATCCTACTATTTTCTATTGTTTAGATATATTATATATAATAAGACATCGATTAAGTAAAGCAGTGATTGCTAGTAGTATATTTGGGTCTGTATATTTAATTATTTCATAGTTAATTTCAGATGATTTACAGACTTTATTGTTAAACAGTTGTTGGATAATTTGTAGTACTTCTTCAATACTAATCTCTTCAATTATAGGGTTATATTATAAGGAGTTGATAGAAAGAATAAGTTCATATTCTGTTTACCAGTATTAGTTAAAAAGTATATTATTGTAAAGTTAATATACTGTCTATTTATCAAAGTAATTAGTAATATACTATTTAATGTCTTTTGGATTGGTAATAAATATTGTTATCTGTTTTAATGTTCTGAAAATGTATAACCTTTTATGTCTATTAAGTATACTGTAATCATTTTAGTTAGTTGTGATAACAATTAGTTATATCTTTTATCTATAGCTTTGTTTATATACTTTTGTAAATGTAGGACATTTTCTAAGTTTCTAGCATTATAAAGTATTTTTCAATATGTTTTTATATGTTAAAGCTATGTTGCCAGTTTTGTTTGTTGGATAAATGGATTGTTAATAGAAAAGTTGTAAACTGTATTGATATAAATTTTGTGCCATATTTTTTCAAAACTTTTAGTCATAATAATAAATAAAATTATATGATGCTGGATCATATTGGAGTTGATTTGATCAGTGAAGTTTTTTCATTATTCATTAGTCATTTGTTTGTATTCATAAATTCTATATTTATATTTATATTTAGATTTGTAATTAGTTCTGGCTAATGCAAAGGAAAATATCTAATTAGGATCTGATAATCAATATGAGTTGAAAATAATGAATTATTAAGTTTAAAAGTATGTAAATAGGGTATAAGAGTATCATTTGTCCAAATATAATTTATTCTGCTTTGGTACCTAGTACTGTGCTAGATATTTTGTAAGTTGTTTATATGTTTGTATTATGTAAATAATTAAGGAGTTAGAATTTAGTTGCAGAAGAAATAGTAGTATTATTATTAGTATTGAAATCATCCAAAATAATAGGTTGTAAGTTGTTAGATAGAGCTTGTTATATCCATATAATAGCTGTGTCTTGTGTGAATTTTCAGATAATGCTGTTAGTTGATAAAAGGTATACAGAAATTATTCAAAGCTTGTAATCATATTTAAAGAATAGATCAACAGCAATTGCTCCACCAGGTGTGTAAGTATTTTGTGTATGTAAGGTTGAATGTAGTTGTGAAGCATTATATATGTTCCTTCTTTTGATGTTGATAAGTTGGACCAGTAATATCTATACTGTTGGATATTAAAAAATTTTGTTGGTGCCTATTTGCAATTTTAGTTTCTGTTAGACTGATGATATGTAAATTGTTAGTTAAACCGTTTATACCCTTCCTTTCGGAATATTTTATAAGTTAGTCCTTGGGAACTGGACGGAGATTAAGTGGATCCCATGCACTCTCAAATAATTGTTTCCAATTAAATGAACACTCCGACGTAACTTATAGGGCGTAGAACGTACCACACTGCCAACAAGTATATCACCATACCTTTCAACCCACCTACTGCAGGCCTAGTTGACATCACACCATGCGTTCGTTGGCTCTTAACCATAGTCACCAGGGCCAGAATTCAAATAGGATCTGATTAGTATTTCAACTACGATAATGTGTTGGCATTATTCCACGGAATTAACACACCAAATTTCACGTTATCTATCAATCTTTATATGAATTCTTTAATAACACGTAAACGTGTTACTGCCCTTAACACAGATGTATCTAGTATACTGTATTAATTCTGTAATGGCCTTAGGTTTTCGAGTCCGTCTCTCCCATTGTAACATCTTCTAGATGACTACCACGGCTACTAACCTTGGTTTCATTATACCCTTTCGGATATAAATCATCGAACCCCACTCCCCGATTGATTCCCAGAGCTCAAATTCAAAATTCGAGTTGTCATCATATCGAGTAGGGAAATAGAAGCTTTAGGGGCCTGACGGATCGGGTGTGTTTGGACAGGACTTTTCACCCTGCCCCACCGTCCGTCTCAGTTTTTCAGTACTCACCTTTTGCCAGAGGAAAGGCTCGTAGTCTTACTTGTCAAGGTGCCCCCGGGGATCATAACTCCCGACGGTCTTCACTGAGTACTAGACCTGGTTGCCAAACTTTCATTTGGTCCATCCTACAGTCCTGTTTCATACTGCTCCAGGGTGTCTTAAACCTGGTCAACTTTGAAGGTAGTTACTCATAGGCCCCATCCTGCCAGATCGTAACGTTTTTACTAAAAACACGATTTCCCTAAACCGAATTAATTTCAGAGCTCAAAATTTTCTTAAGAGTTGCCTTAATCCGCAGTGATCCATCATATTGATAGTAATTGGACCTTCTCCACTCAAAGCTTCACAGTGAGTGCACTAGGCTCCGATTTCCCAAAATATCCTGAGGCCATCCAACGGAAGGCAGGTCGCGATCCGCCTGCATACAGCGTTATGGCTTATTTTGATTCCTGAGGATATAGAGGGTCCATGTCTCACAATTTCAAATAGAACAAGCACTTCCTCCTGATTGCAACCCCGGTACTCTTGCTCAAATCTATCTAGTCACCCCTAGCCATAGGACATTACCATAAGCTATTAGGTTATAACTAGAATCCGCCTAACTCTTAAACCTATACTAAGGCAGACATCAAGATTATCTCGCTCAACCCATAAGTTGCAACCACAAGCTTTCCTTGTGCTATTATCTATGTATAAGACAAACGGCTATCGTAATGATTTCAGGGACTTATCTCATTAGACAAGTTTTGCCTCATTACGTTAGATAAGGCCTCAATCCATGAACTTTACAGCACTAGGTAGATCCAGTTTGTTGGGAACACTCATTATGAGCTATGCAGCCACCAAACCTTCCATCTCGAACCCTAGCTGGATCTAGAATTATCCTTATTTATCAGTTACTTTATCCCTAGAATAACTAGAAATAAAGAACCGGCCATAGACCTAGTAATGCACCGCACATGATCCACAATGAGGGCTCCTAACATCGTCTTTTTCGCTTTACATCACGTCGATGCAAAGTACTACACAGAGCGCTTAGTCAGGCGATATGCAGCAGAGTTACTTCTCAAAACTAGAGGTGCTCACCGCTAGTCGAGTTTTCCCATTTGTTTACTTATGGATGGAACACTTTCGTAATGGTGAGTTTTCTCTCGTTGTTCCAACCTGCCTAAAATAGGATCTGTCCCTCCCTATTGGGAACCCAGAGACTGATTAGTAAGTGGGCTTAATTTTATGGTTTTCCACCAAAGGCATTTCACAACCTAATGTTAATTTCTTAACACTTGAACTTTTTATCGTACTCAGATAAAAGTCCATAAAAAAGAGGAGTTGTCCTTTCGGTGGGTATACTTCATCAACCCAGTGTGTCGACTTGGCGGATATTCGATCATATCATAAGGTCCAAACCTTATGGTCATGTTAAGTACACATAACATGGCTAAAAATCTCCCTGTCTCTCCAGTGTCACTCTCTTTCGAGTTGTCAGGTTTGTCCTTTCGGTGGGTATTACCATCGACCCAGTGTGTCGAATCTCGTCGATCCATAGGCATTGCTGTCTTTCCAGCTTGCTCCGTATTGTCACTTTGTTGCTCTTTGGTTACTTACGGATAGGATACTTTCGTAGAGCGTGAGTTTTGTCTCATAATCCCTACCTGAGTTGGTTGCTCTCGAGCTCAACTAAGCCCGCCTGAAGGTGCAGTGGACTCTATTACTGCTTCCCTGTCTAATGATTTAATCATCCATCTTGAACAGTGACAACTACATGTACAAGTAAAACTTACATTGTTGTTTGCTACTTACAGATGTTATAAATCAAGGGACGTCAGGTACCGATTGGTTAATTGTATAACAATCGGTAAACAATCTGATAATGTTAATTATATTCTGTCTTTCCAGCGTCAGATAGGGTACGTTGTTGGAAATTGGCTTCCCGCATTCCTCAGCGATGCTAATCCTATCGGGCAACGCATTTTAATTATTAACCATTTCTTAGGGAAAGGTTTCAAAGACCTCACGGTTATATTTAACAATCCCTCATAATGATGAAAAATACTCCAAGGTACTTTCCAACCATTGAAGCATTGTATATACCGGTAGTTGGACCATAAATATAATGAGAGGAATAATCACGCCTTAGATTTTCTAAATTGTGATAATTCCTCCCACTTATTATAAACGTATCACAGAATTCAAAAGCAACATATTTAATGTTGCAGCAAGAACAATGGACACGTATGGCCAACACTCCTTGAGCCGGAAAAACTGTTCGGCTTTCTAGTAAAGCAGAACTAGAACTTGTGGATATTGGCATTGTCAGAGCCCTCACCACATCGTTGCTAAAATAAACAACGGTCCGAGCTACTCTCCTCTTTTCCAAACGACGCCGATAAGAAATAGGGCTTCGCTTCTTACGCGGCTTTTCAGCTACTTCAGAAGCGTATAGCCAAACCCAAATCTTAGCCGTTTTTCTAGCGAATTTTGCCCGGTTAATTTGAGAACGACGAGAAAAAGATTTTTTATACATAGATTTCGGCCAGCATTGCAGCGGCGGGCATCATGTATATTATCTTTAGATCGTTGACGGAAACCTAATGAGTATAGACATGACCGTAATGGACAAATGTCCCACGCTAATTATTAGTCGAGTGGAGTTTGCTATTAACCTTATCCACCCCCTTCATCATCCACTATGACTGGACTTACATTGTCATCCTTCTGGATTTTCTCCCGGCGCCATGTCATTTCATGGTAGAAGTTGAATACAGTTAATGAGACTCTAATAACAATTGCCACTTAATTACCACAAACTCAAGTATTCGTATATCATACAAATACTCAAATTTAGTCTCCAGATATTTTCTTTACAGCCTTTAAGGGATTCCACCTGCTGCATGGCTTGAAGAAAATAAATAAAAGAAATGACCCATCCGATGACCTATTCATCTTGGTTATAATTAACATTAACATATAAGGTCTCCAAGACAGTATTTATTAACGCACCCTGTCTACAGGTTACGGTGCGATATTATTTTATTTTATTTTATTTTAAGGGTTTACACCTATGGCCCATTATCAAGCCACATACCCATTACAGGTACTAGAACTTTTTAGCATCGTCTTTCCGATATTAAAAGTCCATAAAATTGTGTCAGATATTTTCCTTTCGGTAGGTATTAATTCATCAACCTATTGTGTCGAATCTCGTCGATCCATAGCTTCAACAAATTAATTTATAAGATAAATTAAAATGAATCTTCCAATCATTTATGGCTCACTATATTCTTTTGGTCTATTACCGAAGAATAATTTTCACCACAAACAAGATTTAACTTGTTTCTAGATCTCATGAGTTAGATACCCTGTCACTACATTGATTAAGCGATGGTGGTGACAGATTTCCGACGCCCTAGTTTTGCTCTCGAAGACTAGGAACTCCGCCAGAAGGTACAACGGACTTATTTATTTTAAATAAATTGTTGCTTCCTTACTTTATTTTCATCATTGATCAAGATCCGAATTGCTATCGCGTTACCCAACCAAGCTCAAGATATATGTCTAACATAGTATCGAGGGCCTTCCCAGTGCATTCGCTGGTTCTGCAAGGTTGGTTTTATCGCTACTCGCCACCGGCTGCTGTCTAGAAAATAAAGGCCTGGCACCAATTGGTTAACCGTATAACAATTGGTAAACAATCCAATACTTTCGAAATAATACTCTTTTTATGGTGAGTAAAATTCTACTTGTAATGAAAATAATAAGATCCAACTATAAATAATTTTCAAATAGCTGACCATAGAAATTACGCATAGACGGACGTTTACTAAACAAGCGAGCCCTTGTGCCTATTATGCAAGATTCCACCCAGTTTCCCAGTGTGGTTATCGTAATAGGTGCAATTTATTTAAAAAGGCGCAGACATCGTTACCCTTTGTTAAAATTGATATTAACACGTTAATTCTGTTCCATATAATAATTGAAAGGACATTATGACCCTTTGTTAAAATGAACCACTCAGCACTGATTCACTAATGTGCAATCCCAAATATTCAGTTAAAACAAATACCCTCCGAGTTTATACTTGATGATCGTTTGGGGCCTGAATTGGTAATTTTACCGAGTACCACCCATCCATTGATCATATAAACCCCCCGGTAGTTTTGCCATTGGAAGTGGTCAAACCAACGCTTCCTAGACAGTATTTCTTTTAACCTGCAAAAATGGGACACATTAACCCTCTGTTAAAATGAAGAGTGGAGCACTAATTCACCATAATGCAATCCGAACAATTATTATACTTCCCGCCTAAGTTTTCCATATTAATAAAAACTAATTCATAACGATGCAATCTGACCACTCCTTCTTAAAAATGCTATCCATCCATAAACCTCCGTTTAGCGATGACTATGGCCACTATAAGTTTATATTTATAGCTTTCACTTATTATCATCCTACTATGATTCAAGGGTTTACACCTATGGCTCATTTCGTTAAGCCACATGCCCATTACAGGCACTAGAACTTTTTAGTATCGTCTTTCCGATATTAAAAGTCCATAAAATTATGTCACTTTCTTTCAAGTTGTCAGGGTTTTCCTTTCGGTGAGTATTACCATCAACTCAGTGTGTCGAAGCTTTTCTCCTTCGATCAGGATTTCGATTTGCCCTTTTGGTGAACATATCTATTCAGTTCAGTGTGTCGAATCTCGTCGATCCAAGGCATTGCTGTCTTTCCAGCTTGCTCCGTATTGTCACCATTTGTTCCAGTTTGTTTACTTATGGATGAGATGCTTTCGCACTGGTTAAGTTGGGTCTTATTATCTCTACCTGGTAGTTTTGCTCTCGATGACCTACAAACACCGCAAGAAGGTGCAACGGACTTTACAATATCATGAAGGATGAATCAGCATCCAAAATGAACTCCAAATAAGATAAATTCTCTATACTCAGAAAAGATATGATGCTTCCCAGTCCCTACACTACGTCGTTGCAGTGCATGAAGTTTTGTCTATACACACGTAACTCCTGATATTCAAGAGGTGCTTCTCATGACAAAAATTCCGCGCTACTGGGTTGCCCGACTCTATAACTTTCCTCATTTTAAAGAATTTTATTAAATGGAATTTATAATGAACATATTTCATTACTTACACTTATATTTTAATAAGAACTTCATGAAATTGCATGTTGTTTTGGGGCTTCCGATATACTAATTAATCAAAATCATGTGAGGTGCAATAATAGTAATAATAATGGTAGATTCATGCATAAATTGATCGGTGAACTTTTACTAACGAAATACTAGTATCTTAAAATCAATTCACCTCATATACAAACTATTTTTTTGATGAAATTTTTGTAGCAAACGATTCGCATAGTATAATAAAACAAAGTTACAGAGTAATATTTTTTATTAATTGGGCATTTTTAGTTATTACATTAGCAGGAATTACTCTAAGACTAGTAAATATTTAAAAAAATTGATTCACCTCATGTACATACAATTTTTTTTTGACTATTTTTACAATAAACGATTCGCATAGGATAACGAAACAAATTTACAGAGCAAAATTTTCGATTAATTTAACATTTTTATGTGTCGAAGCAATTTTTTGTTTCAAACCACCTGATCAGTCATGTGACATGATAATTACTGTGGTATTCTATTGGCGGTATTGTTCGTAAAAATTTGTACTACGTAAAAATCTGTACTATTCATTTTTACTATTATACCTGATATAGATTGATTAATTAGTATGTCGGAAGCCCCAATGTTGTTTCCTGTTTAAGTCATCTTTCATCATAGTGAACAGTGACAACTACGTGTACAAAGCTAATCTCTTAACTTTACACTGTTGTTTGCTACTTACCTACTCTGGAGGACAGAAACTCTTGTACCAATTGATTTTAAGACAAAACAATTGGTAAACAAACAAGGAGATTAATATAATTAACCCCTATTTGCATTATAATCTAAATCCACTTCGTAACTAGAGATTAGCGTGATTGTTCTATTCTAATACTATATCTAGAGATTAGCGCCTTCTCCATTCAGGTCTTTGTTTCCTTTTGCTCAAGATCCGAATTACTATCCCGTTACCCTATCAGCCCGTCAAAAACGTTCTAATTACCGTTTGGTCCTGTTAACCAGTGTGGATTTGCACCACCAAACCTTAACGATAATTTAACAGCTAAATTTCGGGGTTCACAGTGCCATTGCTGTTTCTGCAAGATAGGCTTTCTCAGTATACGTAACCGGCTGCTGGCTGAAGTATCAAACCTATGTAAGAAGAGGGTTTCTCTGAGTGATTACTGGAATATCACAAAATGGGTCTCTCTGTTAACGTAGGTTTCCTTAGATTATAAAACAAATAACTGGTATTATAACCAGTTTCTTAACAATGATTCATGGGGGTTGTTTACCATCAGCTCATGTTTCAAGCCGTGCTAAGAACGTCACTACAGAAAACCTGTCGTCACCCAGGTTAGACTCCCCTCTACATGCATTTATAAGATGCACTGGGGTAAACCGTAGTTGTTGTTAGCTCTCGATACGCACTCATACGCGGAAGACAAAGTATGAGATACCAGAATGAATTAACATTCTTCTATTGTAAAAGGTAATAGCTTTACAATTAGAGGTTCTTTAGAACCGGTATTGTGTACTCATAGGAGGACATTCGTCTGATTGGTTAATTTTGGTAGATCTACCCGTGATTTTCCGTGATAGTTAACCAATCAAA